CTTGGCGGCACAATTTTGAATATAATGAAAACTAACAAAGATAAGAGAGCTTGGCAAGATCCTAAATAATTCTCTTTCCTCATGAGGAATAAGGTCATTCTATTGAAAACTTTGCTCTGTCCCTTTCAGAAAGATGTAATTCATATTAAATGGGTGAACATTTACAGAAGGAATATGGTAATATTTAAGTTTTGTGGTTTGCAAAATAGTTTGTTAGAGGCCAAAAAAAAATTAGGGGCCATTCTGTAAACATCACTAATTATCTTGTTTTGAAAATAAGAGCTGGGCAGCCCCTGTGGCCTGTTGCTCTCCTTGCCCAGGAGATACAAACAACAGGCCCAGTGCAGTTAATCAGGAGTTTTGCTCAGCCCTTTGTCCTTCCTTCTGGGACATAATTCACACCAGATCTCCACAGTGCTTAATATGAATGCAGCATGTTATACCAGGAACTCTCAGATAAGGAGGCTCTGCTTGAGAGCCTGTACTCTCATTAGAAATCCAGAATCTGCAACAAATCATCCATTCTCTTTTCATCATTCCTCAGATTAGCTTTAGGAAGAGCAAGACACTCCCATGCACTGATGGTGCCCCGTGATTTTCCCATTTCCTTTTATTCCTTAGTGTATCATAGTTCTTCTTAACGTGGAGCAAGGTCTTCACGGAGATAAGAAGACCCAGACAAAACATTGACAGTTACTCTGGGAAGGAGCTGAGTGGAGGAAGAAAGATTTAAATCTTCCAAAATGTATATCTTGAATGTATAGAAGATTTTGGATACAAAAGGTTTAATTAAACACAGAAACAGAGTGGAGAATAGATATAATTAGATACATGAATATATTATTTATTTTTGGATTTTATCTTTTATATATATGAAATCTACAGCATCAAGGAAATAAAGTATTTTCTTTAACTTTTCCAAGATGTCTACACCATGATGCCAGTAGCACACGAATTCTAAATAAAATGAAAATATGAATTTACACTTGAAACTCACACCGAATGAATGAATTTCTGAAGAGTTTGTATATGTCAGCACGGCATTTAGAAAGCACACTGCACAAGGGAGAAAAGAAAAGAAGAGACTAAGGACCAAAGAAGAGCTAAAAGCTCCACCAGCACACCATTTGGGGCTTATTTCCAGCCAGACCCTGCCTATTACATACCCCACACCTTCTCTAATAACTCTACTTGGGAACCAAGAATTTAGCACATGGGGCTTTGGTGAACATTTCATATTCAAAATGTAACAACCCTCATGTTTTTTGCTGCAGCTTAGGGCGATGAAACATGAATGACAAAACTCAACAAAACCCACGGGAGTTTATTGGGAAAGGTATTGGTTTAAAATGAGGCTCAGCAGTTGGGGCAATTGAAACTGGAGTCTTGGAGCTGCTGCTGGTAGCTCCACATGGCCCCAGCTAGCTCAGTTTCTACATACAGAGTCTTTATAGCAGCCACTTAAAGCAAGGCTTAGCTGTGCAACACAGGGTCCTTTGAGCTAAGTATCTGCCTGATGGCCAGTTGTATAGCCTGCCAGGCTGCAGGGGGCGGGGTCAGCATAATGACAGGATATCAACACCTCAAGCCTGCTTTTGAGAGCAATTCTGGGGCATGCAGAACTTCATCTTTCAAAGAACAGCAATTAAAACAAAAAGATGACAAAGAAACAGAACCATGGGAAAAGGATAGATTTGCATCAGGACAGTGGACAAGAGTCCTGGCTGCATGTTACAAACAGGCAGACCTTTATAAAGTCCTGAATCACAGGAGAAGATTGAGACCAATTAGATAGAAACTCTGGGTGTGGGCTCTGGCATCGGTTTTCTTTTTAGCTTCCTCAAAGACAGTAGTGTGTGAGCATTGATGGAGAACACGGTTTTAGGAACAGCCTGGGTAAGCAGAGTAGTGCTGACTACCTTTAACAACCACACCATGTTTATTGGACTTCCAGGCCTATGTTTTCCTTATTTTTTCCTGCCAAATACTCACTATTTGTGTCTTTGTTTGTTTTGTTTTGTTTTATTTTGTTTTGTTTTGTTTGTCGAGACAAGGTTTCTCTGTGTAGCTTTGGAGCCTATCCTGGCACTTGCTCTGTAGACCAGGCTGGCCTTGAACTCACAAAGATCTACCTGCCTCTGCCTCTTGAGTGCTGGGATTAAAGGCGTGGGCCACCAATGCCTGGCCACTATTTGTGTCTTACAGTTTTATCTGTGACTTGTGAAATATCTATAAGGTTCAAGAACACATAATTATTGTAAAAGTACTTCTGGCTAATTTGATACCTCATTTTAGTGTACATCAGTAAGGCTGTCTGATTCATTAGTAGTTCTCACAGGCTAGTTAAGAATATTTAGTAAGTTATTAGTTAGTTAATAAAAGTTCAATAAAATAGTTAATAAAAGTTAATAAAAGTTAGTTCAATTGTAGTTATAGATATCCATTAGTGTGGCTGGAAGTTAGGCTGTTGTGACACACAGAGTTGGAATTTTGGATGGGTGTATGACCCTGGTAGTTAGAAACCTGTGAGGCAACTTTCCCCCATTACCTGCCATGTAAACAATAGAAGACATGGTGTTGTATGTGCAAAGTACTCATCAGAGAGAATAAGAAATCTCAGGGATAAAGTTGCTTTGCCTTACAAGACTGGTGGCATGAGATTGATCTAGAAACCCATGAAATTTGATAGGGAGAACAAATTCCACTCTGTTGTCCTCTGACATCTCTATGTACAAATGCTTACACATACATAACACACACACACACACACACACACACACACACACACACACACATACACACCACTTTTTGAAGTATGAAAGTGAACTTTACAATGTCTGATGAATGAGCACCAAGAGGTTAGCTATTACTATTTAAATTCAATTCTCATTGGCAGAGTATTAAGTAACAAAAGGCTCTTTTTATAGTATTTGTCATGCAAAAAGAGCATATTATAGTTTGGAGTGACTATGTTATATTAAGAATAAGTCCAGAAAGTTTCCATAGGTTTTATAAAGACTTCTCCCCTCACTTATTTTGTGCCCAGCTGATCTGAGCATTCAGTTTTACAAATGGAAGAATGGATTCCAAGAAAGTCAAGAATGTGCACTAATTATATTTTCTAAACATTTCTAGTGATGGTGTCTTAGTTAAGGGTTACTATTGCAAGAGTGAAACACCAAGACCAAAAGAATGTTGAGAAGAAAGAGTTTCTTTGACTTATACTTCCACAGCACTTTTCATCATTGAAGAAAGTCAGGACAGGAAACCAAACAGCAGGAACCTGGAGGCAGGAGTTGATGCCGAGGCCATGAAGGGGTGCTGCTGACTGACTTTCTCCACATGACTTGCCCAGGCTGCTTTCCTATAGAAGCCATGGCCACCAGACCAGGGATGACACCACCCACAATGGGCTCACATCAATCACTAATTAAGAAAATGTCTTAAGGCCACTTGGCCCAGGTGGTTAAAAGATAATAATGGGATATCCTGAGTTCTCATAGTCCAAGCTGGTTAAAGACAAGCATAGGCCTTGATGGATAGGTAGGAGCCATTAGGATGGGAAAATATATGGTGGAGAAATGGGGGAGAAAGAGAAGCAGAATGGTTTCTGTGATGTGGAAAGATGGAGAACTGAAGAAGAGAAGGTGGTGAGGAACAGGCTGATATGGGTGGCCTGCTTGCCACCCAGGGCCATGGTGACATCTGGGCCTGGGCTGCCCCAGGGCCATGTCTAGGTCCATGGTTTTACTGCAATCAGCCCAGTAGGGACAGAAATCTATTGTATATTGTGTGTGATAACCTGAGTTCAAGTATCACCTGAGTTCAAGTATCATAGATAGAATACTAGCTGGAACTATTGAAAATAAATAAAATTCTTTTCCAAAGAGATAACACAAATAATGAAAGCAACGACAGATTTGTTTTTGAAGTCTCTAAATCTACTTTTTTTAGGTATGGCCTAAATATGAAACAGCATTTGCCATAGGTGTCAGTAAACCATCTTTTATAGCACCAGTGGCTGAAAAAGTCAAAAGCCAATGAAATCCCTTCTGGCATGGAAATCACAAGAGAGTGCTATGAATTTTGGCAGATCTTGCAACTTACAGCATTTATTCATAACTCAAAAGTTTCCAAATAAATTGTTATCACAAGTTAATATTGATCTTTTGAAGTCTAGTCCTCAAACACCAAGACAATATCATAAGAAAAGTGACATGTGACATAAATATTTACACACACACACACACACACACACACACACACAAACACACACACACACAAACACACACACAAAAGAGGTTATTAATCTTTTTTCTTTCTAGTTTTTTGAGACAGGATTTCTCTTTGTAACAGCTCTGGCTATCTTGGAACTCCCTCTGTTGACCAGGCTGGCCTTGAAATCACTGACATCCACCTGCCTCTACCTCCCCAGTGCTAAGACTAAAGGTGTGTGCCAACATGCCCGGCTGAGGCTGTGAATCTTGAAGACTATTCTGACACAGTGGATGTATCTTCCCATGGTTCCTGATTTTACTCATTTGTTTATTATTTTAGCACTTCAACAAATTTGTAAAGTGAGATTATCCATTTAGAGACAGCACATTGAAGCAAACCTGGAGATACTGGGGGTTGGTTCCCCTCTCCTATGGTCACACATTTCTTCTTTCCTTATATTTCTTTTAAAGTACTTTTACTAATTATTTGAGCAATTTATTCAATATGGTTTGATCGTATTCACCTCGTTTCTCCTGTCCCTCCTTTCCCTGCTTCCCCCCCACTCCTCTTTGCTTCTCTGTGACACACAGAAGATGGAATACGGTCTTGGAACTTCTGACACGTCAGCCAACGGACGTTGGCTTCCTACATGGAAAGTATCGTTCCCTGAAGAGGTTAGAGTGGCAGCTCTCTTAGCGACAGTGTTAGTCACTCGAGCCCACAAACTACACAGGTGCCTCGAAACAAACCTGTTCTCTCCACAGAACTGTATCAGATAAACCATGGACCAGGACCTGGAAGAAGCACAAGACAGCATGGAGGAAAAAACGGAGGAAGAGGTACCTAACAAGGACCAACAGAAGTCTGAGGGTCCCAAGAACAAATCCCCGTATATGATAGCATTTCCAGGTGCCATAATGAAGTTTGCATGTTTCAAAAAACATAAAATGCCTGTCTCAAGTGACACGAAGTTACCAGAAGTAAAAAAAGATGCTTTCTTGGAAGGGCCATTCGGTTTTGGCCCTCTAGTTTTTCCTAATTTGCAGCGTTTCAACAACGTTAACTGCTTCCTCGCAGTGTACTGTATGGTGGTCCTAGCTCAAGGTAAGTTGAAGGAGCAGGGCTGCTCTCGGGTGGAGAATAGTGAGGTAGACAAGGTTCACACACACGGCGGGAAGGGGACTGTCCACTACCAAGCATGAATGGAATCAAAATCAGCTAACATGATGCCGTGTAAGGTTACCTCAGGTCTTTGGTTACCTGCCTGGCAGGGTGCATTTCAAACTGTGAATATCATGCTGGTATTCAGATACAGAGGTGATGAGAAGATGATGTTGAGTTGCTTCATGTTATTTGATGACCAATTTATGTTCGGGGTTGAATCTTGGGGTACCAAAAGTTGAAAACAGCATTACCATCATGAGGTGGTCTCAGTTCACAATGTTAAAACACTCTGACAAAGCTGCTTTCTGTCTGCATTATGTTTCCTCATTTGTGAATTGAAGGAAAGTGATATTTGACTCTGTCCACATCATAGGAACAAACACAGGAGTGTTTTTACCCACACTTTGTCTTCTTCCCCCTACCTCCTCCTCCATCTTCCTCATCCTTCTATTATTTTAGTTATATATTGTCATTAATAATTTTTGTTAATAAGAAATCTCACTAAGCTCCATCAGTCTACTTCTGAACTTATTTTTCTTTGCAAGGGCTCTGGTTAACTTGGAAACTACACTTTGCTCACTGCCTTTGACTAGGCCCTCACACTTAACTGTTGCCAGTGAGAGCCTCAGGCAGTACATACTAAAAGTATAGCAAGAATTTTCTATGGTTTTCAGTTTTCCTGGTGATTTAGGCAGCAGGATTAGTCATGGGTGATTGAGTTTCTTGGAGGTAAAGTAGGGAATTGACATCCTATCAGTAGCAATCATGAATGTTTCTTCAGCACTGTGCTCCTTCTGTCTAGCTGTGACAACTGCTGGGGCAGCAGACCAGCAGGTGATGAACAGCTTCTTAGAGCTTTAGGAAGAGTCTGGACTCCTGGATTGCTGCAAACCAAGAAGTGTTTGAGATAGTTGGACAATAGCAGCTGTGCTTAGTGCAGCAAGACTTGTGATCCAGGACTTTTGCAGACATGAGTTTTAATTTGTAATGATTTTCTGTTTTCACTTCTACAAATGTAATACATTTTGTAGCTATTCCCTGTATCAAGGTATTTTTGTTTCATTTAGTATTATTATGTTTTTACTTGCTGGATGACGGTTGTATCCACATTGTACTCTCATTTATTTAATGTTTAAGTACATGAAACAATTTACATGAATATATCCTTTCTTTCAAAATGATTGAAAATGCTCAAAAATTTTAAACTTCAAGCACAGTATCCAAGCTATTGAATAACTCTAGCTTTGGACAATTGTAAATACATTATGCTATTATTTATTTAATATTCAAGAACATGAAATAATTTACATTGAATATATACATCGTTTTACTTTCAAAAAGATCAAAAATTCTCAGAAAGGTTAAACTTCAACTGGTGTAAATTAAACTATTTGAGCGATTATGATGGCCATCTATCTGTCTTGTCTATTAAGATGTGTTATATAGTCGGGCGGTAGTGGCACACGCCTTTAATCCTAGCACTCTGGAGGCAGAGGCAGGCGGATCTCTGTGAGTTCGAGACCAGCCTGGTCTATAAGAGCTAGGTCCAGGACAGCCTCCAAAGCCACAGGGAAACCCTGTCTCGAAACCCCCCTCAAAAAAACAAATAAATAAAATAAAGATGTGTTATATCACCTTCTATCTTTCTTTTGATTTTAGGTCTTATATTCGGTCTTGTTGGTCTGAGTATTGGACATTTTCAGAAGGAATTGTATCTGTCAATGCCAGAGAGGGTTGTATTGTCCTTCACCTATGATTTTATATCTCTGCTGACAGCAATACCGGTGGCATACTATGGAAGTAGATGGAACAGGACAAAGTGGGTGGCAACTGGCGCTTTTTTAGTGGGACTTGGAGCCATCTTTTGTGCTGTTCCATACATGAAATACCAAATTGTATCACCAATAGAAGACAGCGAAGGTGAGATTTTTCAAATATCCTATCAACATTCTGAATCAATGTTTGTGTAAATCATTGCCTCAAACAATTTAAAACAGGTCATGGTGTATGTATTTGTGTCCTTTCCTTGTTTATGTAACCATGCTTATCCACTAATTACATTAATCTAATTGATTAGCTCTTTGATTTACCTCATAGATGGGATGACCCTAGGAAAGAATAGTGTGGAAAATTTGTAATGTTATTTCTTTTATACAATTTTCTTTGTGTTACAAATCTCTTGAGAAGTCCATTAGATACTTTAATTACTCCCTTCATTCTCTTTGTAGCACAGAAACACATAAGTTCAAATACAGGAATAAGCCTACACACACAGAAGGGATACCTTTTGGAGTTATTCTTCACATTGCAAAAGTTGGATGCTACTCCTTGACTACCATTTGAATCTGATAAGATAGTGGCTTTTTCATGTTGTTTGATATTGTTTATTCTGCATTTTGTTATTCTAGTAAGATCTACTTGAAATGTCATTTGAGTATATTTCTAACACTATTATCCCAGATCCTTCCTCATCATCTACAGGCTTTTTATGTACACGATAAGCTAGGTTTTAATAAGACATAATTAATAAGAAAAATGTGTTCATATGTAAATGTGCAAAAATATTTTTGAAGTTTATAATGCATGGTATATTTATGGTTTTTATAAAATATTTGAAGCTTGTTTTATAATACTATGAATGAGTAAAACCTATAAAAAAACAAAAATGATTTTATTAACCCCATGAATACTTACAATTTAGAAGCTATTACTAACTACTTCTATTAGTAGTTTCTTAAAGGTCAATTATGATTGTATCATCTCACCAGACTTTTTAAATATACTATGTACCAATTATGAAGAATTAATAAATAATGCAATTAGTGTTTGCCTGTTTTTTTAATTGAACCTGCAAAGACAGTTGTAATCTATCTTGGATTTATAAATAAAACCTTGTCTCATATCTAGGAACCAGCCATAACTACAGCTCTTGGGTATCTGGTACTCCATTCTGGCCTCTGGTGGCATTGGCTTACACACTCTCTCTCTCTCTCTCTCTCTCTCTCTCTCTCTCTCTCTCTCTCTCTCTCTCTCTCTCTTAATAAATAAAACTAAACCCTTATACGTTATCAGTGTCAAGAAGGAGCTATAGCAGTAGCATTGCTTTTTTTTCCTATTGAATGTTGTTCATACTGTCTACATTTTACACAGTTTGTTTTACTTGGAATTAGGTGCATTAAATTCATCTACTAACATTCATTCAGAACATTTACTGGGTGACTGATAGCAGAGAAGCAGGCAGAATACACCCTTGCAGAAGTGCTCAAGTATTTCTTTTATGTAGATATTTGACTTACTGTGATATCACATGCACGTGCGTGCACACACACACACACACACACACACACACACACACACACACACACACACAGAGAGAGAGAGAGAGAGAGAGACAGAGACAGAGACAGAGACAGAGAGACAGAGAGAGACAGAGAGGAGAGATATTCATTTATTTATCGACTCCTTTTATTTCTATGTCACCTGATTTTCTTTTCTGTTCCTTACTTTTGGTGCTTCCAATGTGAATTCTTTGAGTCCTTTTGGTATTGTCTGTAACTTTCCATTTCTATTCTGTTTTCTGCTCCATGGTTCCATCTGTCATCAACAAAGTTGACTGGTTCATTTTCAAACTTGTGCCTCAACACACATGTAGACATCATACTTCACCACATTTGAAATATTCAACAAAATTATCCAGAAATTCATGAAAACACTATGCTGTATTGCCATCTTTGTTTTCTAATAAACTTTATATAAAGTTCCCATTCACAAATCTGTCTCATTGGGCATACAGAGATTAGCTTTATGGTGAGAGTCATGAGTGCTTTCAACTTACTTATAATGAAGACAAACTTCTGTTCTTTCGTGAGGACTATGGGATAGTGACACCCGTTTTCTCTGATTCTCACAGAGAATTTTCTGTCTGCCAACGTGACATAGACAGATTGTTCAAACCCCTTCCAGTGAGTGCCCTCAGCTCTCTTCTCTCATCATTCTTCACCTCCTTTGTAAACCTTGGAATTGAATCATTCATCCACCTTTTCCCTAAGCTGGGCTGCTACTGAGTCTTGTGATGAATCCTCTGCTGCCAAATGGAAGTATTAGTATCTTCAAAAATTGATCTATTCACTTAGTGTTGGGTCCACTTTGAAGGGACTTTAGGTTTTCTTACAGATTTCCTAAGATACCCTGTGTTGGATGGAAAATCATATCATGGAGGGCAATTGCCTTAATTTCTTTACATTGAAATTTTAATTAGACCTACACCTCCATATTAGTATTCTTCATTTTTTTTCCTCCAGTTAAAATGAAGGAGGTGTCCTGTGGTGGTTATTCTGTGTGTTCCTGTCCCAAACTTTGTCCCACTAGCAATTGCCTTCTACGGTTCTCTGCAGTGTTCTCTGTCACTTCTCACTAATGCTTAAATACAAGCAAATTCTCTAAACTTTGAATTCCTTTTCATTTTTATAGTATTTTTAATTAAAATATTTTAATTAAAATTATTTCTGTCTTTCCTCTTCCATCTTTTAATGCCTCCCACATTTTGTCCTCCCAAACCCTTTCATGCTGTTTCTCTCCAATTGGTGACATTTCTATGTCTCTTCACTCTCAAATTCATGGCTTCATTTTATTTATTATTGTTACACTGTATTTGGGGATGGATAAGGGAGGTCTTTTAAATTTGTTTTAAAAATTCAAATGTTAACTTTTTTATTTGCTTGAGTGTTTTGCAAGTATGCATGTGTACACACATGTGTGTGCCTGGTGCCTGCCAAGGTCAGAGATACTGACAGAGCCTGGAACTGGAGGTCCAGATGTATGTGAGCTGTCAGTTAGGAACTGGAAACAGTATCCAGGTTCTCTGGAAGATCACCCAGAGCCCTGAACTGCTGAGCCACCTCCCCAGCTCCAAGTTCTTCTCACTCATAAAGAATAACAATAGCAGACATGATTCTGGCCAGTCCTCTATTTATCATCTGTTGAAATCTCCTTGTTTTCATTCATGTTTTTGTGGAAGTTCCTTGATTTTCTACACTCATTCCTGTGCAGAAACATGAATTTCCCCTAAAATGTTAAAACAGAATTAATTCCATCTACCCATTAACATAACTGTTGCTAATTACTACAGTGAAAACTTGTTATGAATTTAGATCGTTACCCAGTATTTGTAATACTGAACATTCATATTTCTTAATAGTTTCTTTTGGGGGGCTTGCTACATGTGCAATTTGTAATTTATAATCTTCAATTTCCTTAACAGAGGCTATTTTTTTTATTGTTGAGAGTAAAAAAGATTAGATTGATTATAGAGGTGGAAAACATTTGTTTTCAGATAGTATTCAACAGAAAACTCAGAAATGTCTCCTTAGGAGTACATAACTAGTAAATTTAACTTTCTAGAACAAGGCAAAAGTAAATGTGCTCCGAAGGTGCTCTATGATTGTACAGAGCATGAATGAAGGACTTTCTTTCTATTCACAATGAAGTCAAAATGGATATTGAATGCCATATATTTCATCACCTCTAAAACTATAGCTCAAAATGATAGAAAAGGGATAATTTGACCAAGATTGTAATTTTATTGAGGGCTCATATATTGTGATAGAGAGCAAAGTTATAAGAAAGTGTCAGTCATAACTAGGGGAGAAACATAAGGGACAACTGAGATAGTTAACAAGAGCATTCTAACAGGGTTTGAACCTATTATTCAGCTCACACACTAAAAGTCATTAGCTAGAAGATTTAGGAGATTAAAAATTAAGAATGAATGACTGTTATATGTTCAAATAAAAATGGCCTTCCCAGGCCCATAGGACATTGTAGAAAAGAAGAATGAAAGAGCCAAATGGAGTGGAGTGTGCGGGAAGCAGTGTGAAATGCTGTACTAGGGAATGAAATGACCATTGTCATCTTGAACTCATGGAATTTGTGAGTATCTGCACACAAATTATACAAGATAACATCTGCAGGCATCCTATCATGGAGTGGAAAGGAGCTCACAAGTCCCCATGCATTCCTGGGGATTTATGTCACCAGATGTAGAGAAGGTATCGGTGGGACTTCTGGGCAGGGAGATGAAGTAGGAGGAAGAATTTAGGCTCAGGGGAAAAAAGAAAAAGGAAAGCCAGGGAGACACAAGGGGCCAGCCAGCCAGACATGGAGGAAGCAGGAAAGTAGGACATACAAATGAAAGAAAGATAAAAAAAACCCAAAGTAACAACATAAATGACTCAAAACAGATTAAGAGAGCTAGTAAACAAGCCTAAACTAGGGCTGAGCATTTATTTGTAGCTGAAAATAAATCTCCATGTCTTTATTTGGGAGCTGGTTGGAGGCCCAAAGAGAATTCCAGATACAAGTGCCTATGTATGTGGAAATGTGTGTGTATATAAGCATATCTGTGTAACTGTAATCCTATTCTTTAAAACAGTCATACTCTTTCCTTCATAAATATGTGTTTCTTCTAGTATTACCACACATTTTCTTTTATCTAAAATATGGTCACTCATCTATTGTCTGACTATAATGTAAGGATTTGAAATGAAATGGAAAAGAGATGGTGATGGTAGCAACTGCAAGTTAATTGTACATTTAATTTTTAACTCAGCTTGGTAAAATATAGTTCTTTTCTTTTGGAAGAGTTGTGCATAGAAGAAGAAGACAGGTCGATAACAGAATGCGGGGAAAGTGTAGTACCACACAGACCAGAAATTGTCTCTCTCTTCATCTCCGGGCAGTGTCTCCAGGGATTTGCCTCAATGCCGATCTATATCCTTGGTGTAACCTTTCTTTACGACCACACGTCCACACACTCAGCTGGCATCTATCTAGGCAAGTTTAGACCTTTTTGAATATTCATTTGGTTTCTGTATGTTATAACCAATGCCAAAGTACTGTTGACCGTGTGGTGAAACTGTAATAACTACTGATGGCTCGTTTGATTAACTTCAGAATCACATTGATCCATGTAATTCTGAAATTTTCAACACTGAACAAATCATCTAAAGTCACTGAATATAGTTAGAGGAATAAAAAATAGATATCTCTGGTTCTCTTTCCCTCCGAGGGGTGGGGGAAGAGGAGAGTTAGCTGAATGCAGCGTCATCTCTTCCACATAAAATGCCTTATAAAAACCGTGTTCTACATTAACTTTGATACATCCTCGCGTAATCTATTCTCATTTACTGTAATAAAGGCTTGTTCTGGTAGACAGAATGAAGATGTACTTTCACAGTGATATCGAAAAATCATTTTCAAACTATAAAATTATTTTTGTACTTTGAAAATCTGTACTTTGTACAGTATGGATTTTGTTTGTCATCCCAACCACAGGGAGACTGGGGCATAAGGTTTATGAGTTCAAATCCCATGTAGACTACATAGCAAGTATGCCAGGTCATTCAGAAGTGTATAACAAAACTATATCTCAAAACAACATCAAGAACAAACAAGTAATCTTTCCAATAGACTATGATAAAGCATATACCTAACTGTGTATACATTTACAAGAAATGCTTGTGTCTTATTAGCATTGGTCAAGATTGGTAGAAAATATTCATTTTTAGTTTTCTGCTAAACAGAAAGTAAGAAACTTATCAGTACAATATATAGAGAGGCTTACTATAGTGACACCTCCAGCTACTCTGGAAGCTTAGGTAAATGATGCAAAGATAATTGTGCAAATGTGTTATCTTACTCTAGTGATGTATTGAAAAACATATTTATGTTCACACTGAATAGAAATATATTTATATTACCTTAAATATATGTTAAATAATATACAATGAAGTTCACAATTAAATTGAGTATCTAATACTTGGTTAAATAAGAGGATGTGCCACCCAGTTGTCCTGTCAGACAACACTCTATAGGGCTCTCTGGCATTGTCCTGGGGATGATAAAGATTCACAGTCAGACACTGAGTGAAGTAGATGACCTTTTTTGGTAAGAATAGGTCTCTTTGAAGCAATGTGAAGTCCCAACAGTGCAGACTGACAGTTCCCAAAGAAGCAGTGATTGTGGCTCAGGACCAGCATCAACTATAAGACTAGCATCAACTCTTTCATGAATTTCACACCAGCCTCCTGCCCTACTAATTTGGGATTTGTTAGAATCAATTCCAGAAATTATTTACAATTTTCTCTCTCCCACTTTCATCCCCTCATTTGTTTCTTCCCCTCTTTTCCCACCTGTCTTCCCTCTCTTGAGTAACAGAGAATAGTGTGAAAACCTTCCAAGGGTCACACAGAGTTGTTTTCTATTATGACCAAGTTAGGTTATGAAGCCGTTTGATGTGTTCCTCTTCAAGGTATTGGTGAAGCTGTACAAATACTGGGATACGGTCTGGGTTACACAGTGGGATCACCAAATCTTAAGCCACCAAATAATCAAGATTTGGAGGAGAGGTAAGTCATAATATTTACTTTTCTATTTTGCTCACATCATATAGAATACTTCAATAAATACCATAGCTCAAAATAATACATATTTAACTAGTAATAGTTTAGAAAAATGCATACAACTGAAAATGTTGTGTACATATGTAAACATAAATTAGAGCGAGCATTCATGTTTTTATTGTTTGAAATAGAGCTAAAACTATTACTTAAAAGCACAATAACTTTAAAAAAGCTCAATAACTTTTTGTTTTGTTGCTAAAATCATACAACGTTCATTCAATAAAGTACAGTGGTTATAATTATTTGCATGTACATAGATATTTTCATCTTACTTAGAGTTTTTAACACAATAATATGATCATATTCTTTCTCCATGCCATACTTCTCTCAGATATTCTATACCTCGGTTCCCACCTAATATTATATTTTTCTCTCATGCATTCAGCAAAAAAGACAAAAAATGAAAAAAAACAACCTCCATGAAAATGAAAATCAAAACAAACAAGTAAAAGACCAGTATGACAAAAAATAAATGATAAAAGAAAACAAAATGAAAAAAATAGTTTGCAAAAACCCCATTGAGTTCATTTTGTGTTGGGAAACTACTCCTGGCCATGAGGCCAGCTCTGGAATGTTACTTTTATACACAGTGACACTCTACTGTAGAAAACTTATTGTCCCTTCACAAATGGGCATCTATTGGAAATAGTTTGATGGTTAGGAGTGGGATCTCATGTCTCTTTCCCCATCTCAGAACTGGGACTCCATCATGGACCGGTGCAGATCTTCTGTGTGTTAATACAGTCTCTGTGAGTTCATATGTGCATCAGTCCTATTGTGTCTGGAAGATGCTCTTTCCCTGGAGTCGCTTATCACTTCTGGCTTTTACAATCTTTTCTCCTCTTCTTCCATACAGAGATTTAAGCCTTGAGAGGAGGTATTTGATGAAGACATCCCCTTCAGGACTGAGTGCTCCAATGTTTCTCACTTTTGCCACATTATCCAGTTGTGGGTCTCTGTATTAATTATTCTCTGCTGCAAAAAAAAAAAAAAAAAAAAAAAAAAAAGCTCCTCTGTTATGTGTTGAAAAGATACAGATCTACAGGTATACTGAACCTGAGCGTTATTAGGAGTCACTTGATTGCAGTAGTCCTTTAGCAAAGTAATACTATTATGCTTCCCCTAAGCCCATGACTTATCTAGGCTTAGGTTTTTGGCCACTTTAGCAGTGTCAGATATGGGTTCCATCTTATGGAGTGGACCTTAAATCCAATCTAAAAGTATTTGGCCACTCCTAGGACATTCTTAACACTATTGCACTAATACAATTTGTAGGCAGAGCACTTTTGTAGGTCACAGGGATTGTAGCTTGATGATATTGATGATTACCTCTCTCTTCTGGTAGCATGTAGAGTATCTTCCAGCACCGTGAATGCTCCTCAGTAGAGATGAAGCCTCTAGTTAGACACTAACACAACTTTTCTTTGTTTGATGATGTAAGTGCTGTATTAAGCAATGGAGCCTGACTTATCAAGTTGTTGAGAGGAGCCAATAGCTTTAGTAATAACTTGTGATGTATGGGGTTTCATAGCATGCCTTTGGTAAATGACTCAAGATTTACTTATTCCTGGGACTTGATGGCATAAGGTATCTATTTGGGACATTATCTCCCCTATTTTGTGACTCCATGTGGATTCCCTTCATATGTGTACATATTTTAGGAAGCTTTTTACAGTAGCAGGTTACCATGCAGGATTTCAAATGGCCTTTAATGTTAGTTGTTCCTTCCTATATTCCTTCCTTTATCCTTCTCCCTCATCCTCTTCCCTAAGTAATTAATCCTAATTAATCCTCTTACCTAATCCCATTGATTTCTCGGTTAATCTTCATAAAATTGAGTTGTATTTACCCTTCCTTGGGATATTCTTTTCTTCCTTTTGGTCCCTTAGCAGCTACCTCTGGTATTATTAGTATTGTAGCACACATATCAAAGGTTTGAGCACTAACATCCATGTGTAAGAGGAAATATATAGTGCTTTTCTTTTTGGTTCTGTGTTACTTCACTCAGGATGATTTTTTTCTGGTTCCATTCATCTACCTGCAACTTTGACAATTTCATTTTAACAGATATTCCATTTTTTAAATGTGCCACATTTTTACTGTTCATTCCTCACTTGATGGACACATAGGCTCTTTCCAATTTCTGGCTACTATGATTACAGCAGCAATGAACATGAATGAGCAAGTGTCACTGTACAGTCCTTTGGGTGTATGCCCAAAGGTGGTATGATATAATTGGATTGAAGGAGACTGACTCCCAGCTTCCTGGGAGAAACTCCACCCTGATTTCCATAATGACTGTTCCAGTACATACTCTAATCAGTGCTGTCATATGTTTTGTTGATCTTGATGGCCTGACAGGTGTCAATTTGCATTTCTCTGATACATAAATTTGTTGAACATTTCTTGTTGTTCAACCATTTGTGTTTCACCTATTGAGACACTGCTTAGTTTTATACTCCATTTCATTTTTTGGGGGGGAGGGGTTGAGTTGAGACAGGGTCTCTCTGTGGTTTTGGAGGCTGTCCTGGAACTAGCTCTTGTAGACCAGGCTGGTCTCAAAGTCAGAGATCCGCCTGCCTCTGCCTCCTGAGGGCTGGGATGAAAGGTGTGCGCCACCATCTCCTGGCTATACTCCACTTCTAAACTGGGTTATTTTCTTGATGTTCAGTGTTCTAGTTCTTAATATAATGGAGGTATTAACATTCTGTCAAACATGTAAAATCTTTACACATTCTTTTGGCTGTTGCTTTACTTGGATGATTGTGTAAACTTGCATCATAGAAGCTTTTCAGCTTCATAAGATTTCATCTATTAATTGTTGGTCTTGGTGACTTTGCTGTTAGAGCTCTGCTCAGAAAGCCCTCTCCTGTGCAAAGGAGTGAAAGCTTATTCCCATTCTCTCTTCTGTCAGATTCAGCATATGTGGTCTTATGTTGAGGTCCTTGATCCACTTGAAATTTAGTTTTACGAATTGTGACAGATAGAGATCTATTTGCATCTTTCTATGTGCAGCTATCCAGTTTGTACTGCCATTTTTGAAGATGCTATCTTTTCACCAGTTTGCATTTTGAAATAAAAAATTCAGTGTCTGTACATGTATAGGTCTTCAATTTGATTCCATAGATCAATGTACTGTTTTTAAAGCCAATAACATACTGTATTACAAGTTGAAATTAAAGATCATGATACCTTCAGCAATACTTTTCATTTTTCAGGATTGTATTAGCGAGAGAGAGAGAGAGAGAGAGAGAGAGAGAGAGAGTGTGTGTGTGTGTGTGTGTGTGTGTGTGTGTGTGTGTGTGTGTGTTTTCATGAGAAGTTGAAAGTTTTATTCTGTTACTGTGAAAAATTGTGTTAGAATTTTGATGGAGTTTTTGTTGACTCTACAGTTTGTTTTTGGTAAGATGGCCATTTTCTCTGTATTAACCCTTATGACCCATGAGCATGGGAGTTCACATTTTTCTGGATTTTTCAGTGTCTTGAAATTTTTATTACACAAGTTGTTCACTCACTTGGATAGAATGATCTGAAGATTTATTTGAGACTATTGTAAAAGGTCTTGTTTCCATCCTTCTCAGTTTGTCATTTGCATATAGGAAGGATACTAATTTTTGTGTGTCAATTTTTTTTTATCTTGTTACTATACTAAAAGTGTTTGTTAGCTGTGGAAGTTTCCTGGCAGAGTCTTTATGGTCTTTTATTCATAAAATATCATTTAATCTGCTAATAAAGATAATTTGACTTCATCCTTTCCAATTTGTGTCACCTTGAACAACTTTTTAAATTATTTTTTTTATTTTAGGGGCACTCATATTTACATATCCTTCCCCCTGGTCCTCCCTCCTCCCATGTTCCCCCCAAACTCCCCTCCTCCCCAGGGATATATAGGCCCTCCATGAGGGGACTGTCAATTCCATCATATCATTTGGGAGAGGGTCTAGGACCTCCTAGCTGTTATCAAGGCTGCAATAGTATCTCTTCATAGGGAGTGAGCTCCCAAAGTCCATTTGTGCTCTAGAGATAAACACTGGCTCCACTGTTAGAGGTCCCCTAGACTGTCTTGGCCTCCTATCTGGCATCCACATTCAGAGGGCTTGGTTCAGTCCAATGCTGGTTCCCCAGCTTTACAACTAGTGTCTCCATGCTCTCACTAGGTCACGTCAACTGTTTCTGCAGCACCATCTTTTGCTTATCCTTCCTCCCTCTCCACAACTGGATTCCAGGAGTATGGTTTAGTGCTTAGCTGTGGGTGCCTGTTTTTGTTTTGATCAGCTACTGGATGAAAGCTCTAGGAATTGTAACCAAGGCAGTCATCAATCTCATTATAGGGGAAAGGAATCAAAGGCAGCCTCTCCACCACTGCCTAGATTCTTACTTGGGGTCATCCCCATGGATCCCCTAATATTTCCCCTGTGCCAGACCTCTCTCCAAAGCATACTGTCTTCTTCTATCAAGGAATCTCCTTTCTTGCCCTTCTCCATTCATCCCCTGTCTCAGTCCTTTTGTTCTCATTCCCCTTACTCTTCTCCCCTTCCCACCTCCTTCCCCTCTCCCCCTGAAGCTCCCAATTTGCTCAGGGGTTCTTGTCCCCCACCCCTTTTTCCAGGGACTATGCAATCTTCTCGTGGGGTTCTCCTTGTTTCCTAGCTCCTCTGGCAGTGTGGATTGTAGACTGGTAATACTTTGCTCTATGTCTAAAAATCATATATGAGTGAGTACACACCTTGTTTGTCTTTTTGTGACTGAGTTACCTCACTCAGGGTGGTTTCTTCTAGTTCCCTACTATATAAGATGATATATGCACTGAGGAAGAAGTCGGAGAAACATCATCCTTTACAATAGCAACAAACAACATAAAATATCTTGGGGTAATGCTAACCAAACATGTGAAAAATCTGTATAGTAAGAACTTTGAGTCTTTAAAGAAAGAAATTAAAGAAGAT